CTTTTAGAATTAAGAACTTAAAACTTGTATACTATTAAAATATGGATTATTAGCTAAGATTTTATGCTATTCTAATAGGTTTAACGAAAACAAAAAGCAGTATAAAAAAATTTTGAATGTAAGACACTAAAACCTTGTGTCATGCATAGTAAAGGGTACTCGGAGTGATAGGGTTAACCAGATGGCTTCAGAAGTTGATCCATCTTGCCTATTCAGGCTTATCTGTTAATGATTGCAATATGCTGCATGTCACCTCTCACCAGATACGACACCTATTGATGTCTTTGGCTTCCTGGTTGAACTATTGTCTAGAAGATATTTTTCAGGCCGGTATGTGGACTTTTCCCGACATGTTCATATCTCATTACCTTCACAATCTGGCAGTTTCCTCTTCGATGGGATTTTGTCTGTCCCCTGTGGCTGTGTTGACTACCTCTACTAGATCTTAACAGGGAGGTGAGTAATGTGTTATCTGACTTACAGTTACTGTTCTTTTCTCTTTTAGGTCCCTATTGATTTCTCTTGGATCCCACTCAGTGGTGAGTGTTGCCCAGTCGGGTATGCTTGTATTTAAATTCCGCACTAGCAACCTTTATATCGGTTCCTGGATGCAATGGGCTCTGTCGAGATGAGGGGTTCCATAAGACCATCTGGATGCAATTCTGGATGGTGATATCTTATTACAATATTTCTAATGGACTGCTACTCATGGACTATCATGAGTAAAGCTAAAGGGGATTTTGCCAGTCCCTGCTAATCTTACAGCTGAATTAGTCGAGATAAATTTGCTTTTAAAAATTAGGGAACGTGGTTCACCTGTTGCACTGTCTCTGGAGATCTGTTCCTCAGGACTCCCCAATGCTTATGTTTCACCCTTACTTCTACTAGTGGAGCCCGGGAGTCCTTACCACACCCAGTTCCCAGTTGCTGGGGTGGTGGACAGAGGATTTTCCTTTATAGTGTTGAGATTTCTCCACTCTTGGAGAAGAGGGCAAAGTTGGGGACCCTCCTACCCTGGAATTTTTTTTCCCAGATGTTGGTAGGAGCAGGACCAACCTACACTTGAACCTACTTGTAAAACCAGTCCAGATTTGACACTTAGCTATCTGATGGTGAAGCTTGGACACTCTTATGAACACTGTCAGGTTTTATGTTGTTCATGCAGGGGGTCCATTATATCCTCGTAAATCCGAACGCGATGTGGTCCCATCTTTGGTCCTTGGTGGGACAGTGTTCCACATCCTTTCCATAATTCCATGGGTAAGCGGAATTCTCCTTGCCCACTTGGTGAAGGAGTAAAGACAACTGTTTGTAAATCCACACTGGATGAGTTCTGGACTTTGGTGAAGTATGGCATATGATCCCATCAATCCAGACCTGGGTTGTTGTCTTTTGGACTTCCTCAGGTTGATCAGAAGGATTGTCCACTTTGATGTTGCTTTCTTACTTTCATAAATCCGGTGGTTCGAAACTCATCATTTTGTGGTTACTGGTAGGGATCCTATCACAAAGATATATATATCTGCAGTCCAACTGCCCTGGCCACCAATGTGGGATATGGGTACCATGACCCCTTAAATCCAACCCGAGTTGTAGAACCTCAGCTGTTTGGTCAGGGCTAGACCATCATACTTGTATCATATTCCACCCTTTTCAATTTTGTGTAGTTTTGGGTGAAGAGCATACCTGTTATGGATGTAGTGCGGTGTTCTCCATTTTGATACCACTTCTCCTGGTACATATTTATTCTCTACAAACGCTCTCTATATGATCACTGTCCTTACTGGCCCCTTTGCCTTCTCAATGTGGGATTCTAGCTATTCTAGTGTCAACGGAGGTATGTATGTTTTGGAAGTTATCATTTTCCTTAACTGAAAATGTATTTCCAAACATACTTACCTCCGCTGACACTAATAGCTATTTCTTGATCTTCATCTTTGCCATCTAACATTGTGTTCACTTGCTCCAGTCTTTATATACCCCACTCTACTGCCCTTGGCAATATCTAATTTTGCAAAATATTATGCTGGCCCTCACATGCCCTCTATGCAGGTACTGTATATAAGCACTGAATGCAGACAATTAAATCACTTTTTCTCAACAAAGCACAAGCATTCAGACTAACATTTTGTGATTTACCTCATTCCAGTCACTAACACCAGCTCTTAATGGTGGGAAATTAATGACATTTTTCTTTCCTTTTGACAATATTTTGGTCTCTATGGTGAGGCTTTCTTCTGCCCATCATAAAGTGTTTATAAAAACTTTGTTTTACTCTCTTTCCAAACCTAGAAAGGTTTGTTATTGTAAACTACAAGTTTATAATTCTTTTTTCTAGCCCTTACGCTCTTCTAAAGCAGAGTTTGATATTTGAGTGTGGGTTCTTAAACAAGGAGTCTTCATATAGTGTAATAACATTATTATATTAACAGTAAATCTATTTGGATTTGTGCTTATCAAGTTTCAGCAACATTTTATCACAATTTTGTGCAGTTGGTTGTTCATCAGTAATTAATTTTAGGAAATTTCTTATATCCACATTTGAAAAGAAAATTTAAATTATTTTCATGTGAAGCAGTAACATAATTTATCTTAGGTCAGTATTTATGTTTTAATGGTACAAAGAAAAAGTTTGTATAATTTATATTTTTGATGGGGAAAACTCTTATGAAATTCCTTTATCAAAGATGTTAACCAAATTCATAAATATTAACTTATTAAAAAAATATCATAACTCTGAAGAACTGAAATATGAATAATCTTTTTGTGCATGCATCTGATATGTAGGAGGAGTTTGTTCCACAATTTGGTAATAAAGTTTTATGGTACAGCTGTGGCCCTACTGTATATGATGCCTCGCACATGGGACATGCCAGGTATGTGAAAAGTAGTAATACTATTAAAGTTTTATGGTACAAATGTTCTACTGTGTATGATGCCTCGCACATGGGACATGGCAGGTATGCATAAAGTAGTAATACTCTTAAAATGTTATTAATATTCATTGTATAATCCAGAGTAAAAAGGTAAATTCTGAATGCATTTTATGTTTACCAACACCCGTTTTTCTTGTTTTTAAAGCTTTCTGTTTTTATAGGATACAAAAACACATTTTCATGAAAACATTCTGATCAGTATTAAAATGAGTTAAGCATACTTTGTGCTCACTAGTGCAGGAGTATGTGTTTCAGTGACCTAGTTGACTATGTTGAAAGTAAGCTTTTATCATATTATATCTTTTGAAAATCAGTATTAAAAATAAACTGTTGTGTACAAAAAGTTCATCTTCCATTGTAATTTGTATGGAAATTATATATTTTATATGTGTAGAAACTTATTGCCATCAACATTGTTGTAACTGTATGATCTCCCTTGTAGGTCTTATATATCATTTGATATTATGCGAAGGATACTCGCACAGTACTTCCACTATGATGTGTTTTATGTTATGAACATCACAGATATTGATGATAAGGTAAGAAACTTAATTTATTGAACATTTTCCACACAAAAATTTGTTTCTTAGACAAATTGTAATTGAATTCAATTTTTTAACATTTTTTTATTTCTTCAAATAGCCCAGGGTGGCTCACCAGTATGTCTAACAGTTTATAATTCTAAAAATTAGATTTCGATGGCCGTGGTGGGCAGAACACAAATAGTCCATCATGTAGTTTTGTGGTTTCCAGCAAAAAAAACAACAACTTTAAATAAAAAATTAATCTGATGAAACTGTGAATTATGTGCAAGAAATCTCAGAGATTTATTTGGGATACTAAAAATGTTAAACTTCAATAATCTTTTTGAGTATATAATTTGACATCTTAATTAAAGGTTTATACGTTGTAAAGAGGCATTGACAAAGTAATTTAGTAGTTTCTTTAATCTTTGAATATGGAATAAATTAGTCAATATGGAACGTATCTGACAAATAAAGGTTATAAGTTTTACTTTTGTGTTTGAAGAGGTTAACCTACAATTATTATTTTATTGTAATATTACCAACTTATAAGTGTAAATATATGATGATCATTATTTTTCTTTAACCTTTTGGTAATCCATATTAATAATGCCCATTTGACATGTTTGAATGAGAAGGTAAAGACTAGGAACTACAATGAACTTTCTTTAGTACTTGACTTTTTGTTGTTTTCAAAGATTGTTAGATGTCTTGTTCCAGTTGCTTTGACATCTGGCCATCTTTGGTTTATGTATGTTTAAGAAAAAATGAGTTTTCATATTTTACAAGTTACAGTATCAAAGTTTCTTGAAGCCTTGATTTACATTGTTGTGTAATGCTTGTAGTGGTATGTCACATAGTTACATATCCTTTTTATAACATTTTTCACAATATAAATAAATAGATCATAAAAAGAGCAAGACAGAATCACCTATGGTACCAGTACCTTGAAGAAAAACAAAAAGAGGAAGTACCACAAATAATAGAAGATATAAATATAGCACTTAAGGTAATTTTTTTTTTTTGCTTTGAATGAAAAAACTGAAAGTATCTTAAGGTATAATATAGTAACAGCAAACTTATGTTATATTTTCTTACCTTTAATCAGATACAATGGTACTTTTATATCGATATATTAATATTTCTTTCCTTGTTTTATGGGTAAGATGATGTTTGATGTTTTTACTTAAAAATGTAAGAAGACAAAATTAAAGAGTGAAAAAATGTAGATTATTGTAGTTTTGTTGCTTTTTTTATATCGTTATAAAGAATTATTTTTACTTAAACTTTTCTAGAGTTGAAAATGGAAATGGTAGGCCTACAATATGATATTGTTTATACCCAGAAATATTGAAAAGAAATACCTCAGTAAGAGAGAATTCCAAACACATACACACACATATATATATATATATATGTATAAACTTTTATATTTACACTGCATGTTTTGTAAATAGTTCAATAAAATTTAAAGTGCAAATTATATTAATATAATTTTTTCAATAATTTTGTTTATTAATGTTTTAGTAATTTCATTTTTTAAGCCATACCAAAGTAAGATGGAAACAACCACTGATCCAGATAAACGTACAATGCTAGAAAAGGGAATTGTTAAAGTAACTGAAGCATTAGATCACATCCAGAAACTGCATACTGAAAATAATAGAGATATTAGCCAGAATGATAAAAAGGTAAGTTTGCTTTCATACTCAAAGACTAAACAGGTGTGCTTGTAAACTGCTATCTTTTATTTTTAATTTTGTTGGACATCAAAATTAAAAAAAAGCTTAAATGCCTTCTGGAAATAAATGTTTCTTTTTTTTTTAACCCCTTTTGGACAATACGGTGTCTCTGATATTCCTTGATTTTTTTATCCTTCTCATAGTGGAAATATTAAATCAAATTGCATGAAACTTAGGATAAACTTACAAAATACTATCTGCTTTTGGTATAACAAGTTCATATTACTTGATTTAGTTTTTTTTATCATTATTTATGCCATCGAATTTCCAAACTAAAAATACTTCCTTTTATCTTAGAATTTAATTTTCTTTTTATTGTTGATCAAAAATGTTAAATTTTATATTTCCAATCAACTTCAACTTGATTTTCTTTAACATATATCTTTTGATACTTTATTTTGCCAACTGTAGTAGTCACCATTTCCAACTTAGAATTACCAAAACCTGCATAAAATACCTAAAGATTTATCAATGATCTAAGACCTGACCTTTTAAAATGGCATCGGGTTACACTAGGTTACAATATTTTTGGTTGAAATAAATTCATAGTTAATAAATGTACCTTCTTTCCAATAAGATATCTTACCTCTTCTCAGAAAATAGCTTTTCTCAACCAGCAATACCCTATATCGGTGCAAATTTTCAATGCACACCACTAGCCTTCCACCTCCCACTTCTGCATATCGACATGCTGGTTGAGAAAAGCTATTTTGTGAGAGGAGGTAAGTATCTATTGAAAATACATTTTGAGTGTAGGAAAATGCAAACTTTCAATAAATCATAAGTTTTTTTATCTGTGTTGTTTCAATACGATAAGTGTAAAAATAATTTAATAAATAGGTAATAAGTATCTGGTGCACTGGAATATTTTTCTGTCATTACTCTCTAAAGCTAATAAGGCTTACCTGATATTTTGTCATAGATGTAAATTATCATAGCTTTCAAACAAATATAATTTAATGTGGAATCCTTTTTAGGAATGTTAAGGATTTATTAAGGAACTATAAAGAAGTTCCTCATCTCTTATTTGTTCCAAAAACTTATAAAATTCCCACTACACTCTGTTGTTCTTACCTGCACCAACTGGGTTTTGTCATATTAACATAAGTTGCTTCACTTCCACTTTTTATATTTTACTATGACACAGGTAGTTTATAATCTGCTCTACCCAATGTAAGTAGGCATAAAAATATAAAAGGAGGGGTATAGGCTTATAGAATTTGTGAAAAAAAAAAGTCAAATCACATAAAAAATAAACATTAATGATTATATATTCATCGTGGATGATAGTTTCTTAGCATGTGTAAACCTGTTCTTTGGGATGGGTAGTAAAAGTATAAAACAATCGATAAGCTCATTGTTTACTGGCAAATTTCTTCAAATCTGTGCAGAAATATAAATTTCAAAGTTTTTGTCTCTTTGCAAATTGTACTGCATAAATGACAAAAGATCCATTCTAAAATATTTTAAAGTAAAAAGTTGTTTAAATCGAGTTAGAAATATTATTGTTACTTAAATTTGTAAATTTAATATGCATGCAGTTGTACATTTGACCTGTCTGGAAAGGGTTAATTGAGGATATCCTGAAGTATACATTTTTTATTCAGTACAGTATACTAATCATTTCAAAGTAAATATAACTATATACATATAAATGTTTTTTTTTAAAGTCCAAGATGACTTAAGAAAAGTATGTTAATACATATTTTGATTTGTAAACACTATTGTGGTTTTATAATTTAGCTATTAGATAATAGCCGTTTTGGTGTATTATAATCCTAAAAAGATAAAAAACTAAAATTAGGACATCAAAGTGTTAGAGACATTCACCTGATAAATGTGCTAACTTGTTAAGAATACCTTATGTTTCTTTTAACATTAACTTAGCATAGTTTAGATAGTTAAAGGTGTTGCAGTTATATAAACTTGAAGGTTATTATGGCCAGTAAGCAAAAAGAGTATTGATTTGAATAAGAAATATTTCCAGAAACTGTTGGAGGCTGCCAAGGATCCTCTAGCGGATTGGTTGGATAGTCAACTAGGAGCAGAAGTGACAGACAACTCGATATTTGCATCACTACCTCGCTATTGGGAGGAAGAGTTTTATAAAGATATGGAAGCCTTGAATGTAAGAAATGTGTTAAAAACAGAACAATGCATTACTGAAAATCTTTTAAAATTGTAAAGAATGTGATTTAGAGTAATCTGAAAAGTGTTCTGTAATTATATTAAAGTTTTTTGTAGATTTAACCTGAACATATGTGTCAGCTAGTTATTTTAAGTCTTTTTTTTTTTTTACAAATCAGTTTGTCAAGAATTTTCTGCACTTACTGGTTATTTTATGTTGCTTTTATGAATATTGTTCCTAGGGCAATGACATTTTTAAGTACAAAAGTTTTTTTCTTATTCCTTGTAGTAATATCCATTCTGAAGTTTCAGTTTAAAGGTGAACTATATAATAATTCTATTATATGTATAAAAGTATATGCAGGGCCAGATGAAGAACTTGGAGGACATGGGACCTGAACTCCATAAATAAGTCTTACATTTCACTACTATTAACTGCAGTTTGCACAATACACAAATACACATACACTTCACTATATTTATAGTCTCTGTCTGTAATTTTTGATCTAAAATCAATTGTTATCTACATGTCATTTTCAATTGAAAGCAATGTTGAAGCACTCAACTGCTCATCTTTCATTGTTGATCTTAGCTCACTTTTGATTATCAACATTGTACTGAATAATTTTTAACTCTTCAGTTAGTCACCATTAAGTTTAGGCAGATCTGAATAGCAATAGATACATTGGGAAAAGATACTGAATTCTTATGTTAACTAGCTGAGAAAATATTTTTGAATTTACAAGCTATGAGAAAATGTTAATGAAAAAAATAGGTTTATATGAAACAATTAAAATTGCTGTTGTCATAGTGATGTAATTCAAAACATGTTTGTCAATGAGACATCCAGATTTTGGTTAATGTTTTTTATTTTTCTCTTACTTGGGGTGGGGGCACCCATTTGCTCCCCCTATGTTAATCTGGCCCTGAGTGTATGTTGATGTGATTATTCTGTAGATTAGAAATGTTGTTTGTTTTTTTGTAGGTTTTGCCTCCAGATGTGGTAACTCGTGTTAGTGAATATGTCCCAGAAATTGTTGCTTATATTCGAAAGATCATTGAAAATGGAATGGCGTAAGAGCTGTATTTTCTTCTTATATTTATTAATTGTATTCTGTGTTTCAGAGAATTAGTTAATATCTATGTAGTCAGCAAAATTGTAGTGATTTAACAGTGATGTATGAGAACAGGACAAAGATCACCCTATGAAAAGGTGGCTCTAATTTTCATCAACATCACTTTCATGAGATTGAAATGCTCTTCAATAATGATCTATGTGTTAAGAACAAAGAAAAAAAATGTTTTATATGAAGTGTGGTATAATGAGCTTAATCGTAATTTAAAATACATTAGTTAATCATGCTATGTTTGTTACGACTAAACACAGTTTCATGTGAATTTTTGAGTGAGTTAACAAATTTCATGTACCATTTTTTTTAAATGTTTATCATGAAGTAAATAAAATTGACAAAACTTGAAACTGAACAAATTAAATGTGTGGATATGAATTGTTTTTTCTTTTTCTTTAAATCCATTTTATCTTTATTGATAAAAACAAAAGGATGAGTAAGAAATTAGCTGTGCACTTGAATATGTTTGGTCTGCCAGTATTTAGTTATTATGCTAAAGTGTCAAGTCATTTGTTCTTTTATTCATTCACTTCTGGGGTCCATATATATGATGCCATTTATACTTTGTTATGGGCAGTTATATGGGACACACTATATATTCTTTATTTTAGCATTGAAAGTGTGATATTGACCATATACGAGTAAAGAGTATTCCATTTCAATCTTCATAAATTTCAGTTGATTAATAGAATATTAAAATGCATCTGTTTTATTCTATATTGTCCATAAATAAACCTGTCTGGGAGAGTTGTTTATATGTTAATGTGGCAATTAAAGAGTTGAACAAATATAAAACACAAGAGTTAGTCTATTTTGAAACTGGTAAATTTGATATTTAAATAGGTATGAATCACAAGGGTCAGTCTATTTTGATACTGGTAAATTCGACCAGACACCAAACCACCACTATGCTAAATTGGTTCCTGAAGCATATGGAGACAGCCAAGCTCTTGAAGAAGGAGAAGGTTAGTTTTTTGTCTAGATATAAATCCTTACTTGGCTTAACCGTCTCACCATGGACATCTTTTTTGTGCTTGTCATGAGGTTTTAGTAAATTACTTTCAAAATTTAATTAAACTACTTTTTTTTTCATGGTATACCAATAAATATAGCATAAAAATATAGCTAATAATCCATATTTTAATAGTAGACAATTTTTAATGTCTTACTTTTATAAGGCAATATTAAAAATAAATCTAGAATTTCCCCTAGTGTTAGAATTATGACATTTGCTCTCTAGGCATCCCCTCTTCTCTAATTTAGTTACCATCCATCCATGAAGTACAAAATTTAACATAAATTACTTATTATAATATTGTTATCACTCAGGCAAAGCATAATTTTCATAACCTTCAATCTTATTTAGTTACAGAGCCATGAAATAGACAACCAGACCCCTCTTGCCATGCCCACCTGTTACATCCTCTCTATCAGGAATTGCCAATAGTTCTTTCTGCTATTAAATACCATATTATTTATAACCAATAGAAAGCTAAGGTTTTCATCTATCAAATGATGTATTACATTACATTGTTTTCTATAAAGAGAATCATGAATTGCGCTTTCAGTTCATGCTTGATTTACACAGGAAACACATTGTTGAGTTTAGATGAATATTTAATGGCTATCATCGCTTAGTTAGAAAGCCAGAAAAATTGTGTTATTATTCTGTATTCTTTGGTGCATTATTTAATGAAATAAAAAGAATTAGTGCAGTACTACCATTAGTATGAAAAAGTAAGGTTAAATGTCAGCTAACTACTTTTTTCTTTCTTTTTCATGTGTATTCTTTATTTTTATTATAAAAGTAACTAAAATGTAAAAATAGGAATTTTTTTTATGTTAGTTAAGGTTAGACTAGGTGAAATAAATAATATAATTTTTTTTTGCAAGGTACACTCTCTAGTAGCTCATGTATAATGTAATTCAATGGTGTAAGGTGACCTGCACATATGCCAAGTGACTTACAACTCATAATGGTGCAAATAGTAATTAGTCAGGGTTCAAAAAGCAATAAAACAATAAAATTTAAGTATAAATAGATGAATACTGTTATGAGTGTAAAGCTATTTAGAATAAACAAATGTAGTTTCATATTCCAATTTGAAGTTATTCTAGAAAGAAAAAAGGGTACTTTAGATTTATTTATTTTTTTTTGGTGGTTACGAGGTCAGTCAGAATAGAGAAAATAACAGGTAAAATATAAAGTTTTATTGGAAAAGAAAAATTTAGGTAGTTTTAGAGACCATGCAAATAAGATTTGAGATTTTTGAGATCAAGAAAAATATTTTAAATCTTGACATGGAAATCACTTAACACTTTGACTAGTATATAGAAGTACTATATTTATTCACGGACAAATCTTTATTAAAAATACTTCATTAAAAAATCTGATTTTTGTGTACAAATGACTTGTAATGTTTACTGAAAGTCTGCCAAATTTTGTGAAGATACATAAAGTGTATTAAAAGTTATAGTATGGAAACTATAGCGAGTACAAAATGGTTGCATGGTCAGATCGAATTGACTGACTTCGTAATGAGAGAGCTAATAATGTAAAATGGCTAAGAAGGTTTATGTAGGTGTAGGAAAGTTTGGAAAGAAGTTGATATATGAAACTTTCTAGGTGACCTGAGTATCTCTGATAACAAATTAAATGAGAAGAAAAGTCCAAATGATTTTGCATTGTGGAAAAGCTCCAAACCAGGTGAACCCTCGTGGGACTCGCCATGGGGAAAGGTATGATGGAATTTTCATATAACTTTGTTAGTTTCTGTGGTTTTCAATCTAATCATACATATTCACTCTTTATGTTTACTTAAATATGGTTAGATGATTTTGGATGTGCCCATACATTCTAGCTGTGAGTTTGTTTGCATAATTTTATATTTAGAATACTTTATAAGTTTGCCAGTTTTATTATTTGTGTATGTAATAAATTTTGCACCCTGTGCCATTGACTACTTTATCATTACTGCTATGGCTGCCAACATGGACCTTTCCTTGATACCCCTTTTAACATGCACAGCATAGAAACTTATCTGAATGTGCACATTGTCAATCCACTGAATCCACTGGACTAACTCTCTATTGGAAAAGAAATGTTATCTATAATTCTGAATTTACTATGTGTATTTGTAGCAAGCTTTTTTATAAAATGTACATGTCTATTATATACAAAAAATCAGGTGTATTACAAAAGTAGTTTTACTTAAGGTATGCCTGTATTGACAAGTCAGAGTGCAAGGTGATGTTCATGTGAAGAATATAAATACTTTGTTCATTGTATAGTTTAATTTTGCACTTGCATAACCTCCAGAACCTTCAAAATGTGTATCTACAATTTTTCTCAATATCCATTTGTATAGTATCAAATATTTACTATCCTCTACCATGAATTATTGCTAAGTCAGTTGTGACATGTGCACTTTGACCCACACCAATGCACATAAAGTTAAAAGGTTAACAAAATAATTATCAGTATCATGAATTACTTTCAATGATTACTATCATAAATTACTTTCAGTCAGTTACAAGCATGCATTGTTAATTTAGCTAACTCTTGAGGGAGCAGTGTTCAATTAATAATCAGAATTTACTAGAATTTTCCAAAGCTGCAGCTCATTATTCCATAAGATTATTATCATTTTTTAAATGACTATTTGAGTTTATTAGCATTTGTGCAAGAATGCTTAATACAAAAGATAATTAAGCCTATTGGATTAAAAGTGTTTCTTTCTGACTTGAGTAGTTAAAATTTTCTGCCACATTGAATTATTTTGTTAAACTTCTTATTTATATATTTTTTAATCCTACTTTCTATTTCTAATATTTTCATTGATTGTTAAATACTTGGAAATAAATCTTAAGTTTAAAACATACTTATGACCTGTTATAACACACACACACACACACACACAATAAGAATGTTAATTTTTGAAAATGTTTACTGTTTATCAACATACATAGTATTAAAAATGCTTGTATATAATACACATGAAGAACTAAGTATTTATTTATATATTCTAAGTATATTTTAAAATATACACAAACATCCAAAACTAAAAAATATATAAAATTAATCTTCAGTCAAAGAACTAAAAGGCTAAAAATAGGAAAGGTTTTTCAGCCTTTGGCTCTCTATTACTTGCATTGAAGCTCTTATCAATGTGTAATATGGATACTAAACATTAAGTACATTAATGTTGCACATTATGCATAAGATTATACAATCTTATAATCATACCAAAATATAATTTGGATAATAGTGTATATGCCATGTGTGTTTTAATATAAAATTTTATTTATGCTCTTTTTGGATGTTGATATTTCTGAAAAGTAAGGGTGACAGTGTTTATGAAAATTCACTTGTTAAAACTAAGGTTCAAACAGATGCATTCATCTTAAGACTAGAATTGAATCCTTCTTGTCATTACTGTTTACTGTGATATGAATTCTTAACATCAAGAAAAAAGCAGGCAATTATCAAGAAAATATATGTTTATTTTGCTTTTGATATATGTGCAAAGCCACATTAGTATTAGGTGTGCTAGCCATCCCTACTTTTGAACTGATAAACTATAGAGGGAAATCAGCTAGTCAAGTTTTTAAGGTCAATATTTTTGTCGAGAACTTAAATAACATCACTTAAAAGTCATTCATGGTTATATTCTAGTTATAAAAAATAGTATAATACATTTTTATTACATCATTAAATGAATGTGATATAGAGATCACACATGCATGCAATCATTCACTGTTTACATTAATCAAAACATTTAATCTATGTTTTACATAAAATGTTCTCACTATTTGTTTGTATCTACTGTTGGTTTTTTTTTATATGGAATTAATTTATTCAGTTTAACATTCTGCTTGTGTTCCAGATGGGTTGTAGTTTTGGTGTTAAAGTTGTGGCTGTAGTCAATCCATGATATGCTATTTTTTAGTTCATTCTTCACTAATTCATGGTTCATGACTGTTTCTTCTGGCTTAATTTCAACTTCATTTCTTCTTCCAAAAGATGATGTTGACATGAGAAATAAGCAGACGATTTCTGCAGATAACAGTATGTAGTTTTGAAATAGAGGAATTGGGGGGATGACTTGATGTTGCTTGCAAATTGTTAAGATGGAATACGTACATTCTGAGACATTCAAGAATTAAATGTTTGTTACCATCACACACATGTCAAATGTTTGTTGCTGTCATACTATGTTAAACTTTGATTACCATCAAATGAATCTGTTGCTAGTGTTATTAAATGGTGATATGTGATTGATACTCTACAGCTATTTTGATCACTCTAAAAATTTGATTTGAAACTCTGGAAATTGTTATTGGACATCCATTTCATAACAGCTTATCTGCAGAAATATCCTGCCTATTTCTCATGTCAACATCATCTTTTGGAAGAAGAACTGAAGTTGAAATTCAGATAGAAGAAACAGTCTACCACTCAACATGAATTATTAAAAAATAACATATTATTGATTGACTACAACCTTATGTTTGTACTTGTATTACCCCAAATGATCAAAGTATATTTTCAACTATCTTAGACAAATGGTTATGCCATCCTGATATTTTAATTTTTCCATAATATTTCATGCAACACTTGTTATAAATTTCACCATTTTCAATAATCCAGCAAAATGATGTGAAAAGTTGGACAAATAAACTGACTGGTGTAGACATAGCCACCTCACTAAAATAAATACATTAAAAGTTAATCTTAATTTCTCTTCGTCTGAGCCTAAAACTGTAAGAAAAAGTGCCAATTTAACCATTTGCATTGTGGATGTTTAGCCGACAACTGTTTCCTTGGATTTATTTAGAGGTTTTTTTATTCCTGGATAATGCAGGTACATTTTTGTAACTTTTGTGTACAGTTTTCTGATAAGTTTGAGAATATTAACTTTTATTTACATAAATTAATAAAACTGTCTGTATTTAAATGTTAAAGAGCTTAAAAGTTTCCTACATCTAATAACTCTTCTAAAAGTAACTATCCATTGTGACTGTCCCATACTCTTGTAAGGTTGACTTGTGGTTGATGAACCATCTTGTTTACATGAGCTTCCTATATATATATATATACTTATACACCAAGAGATTGCTTTCATACTCATACCTGTGATAAAAGTACTGAGCTGTGGTGGTTATGGAGGCTAAACTCCATTGCTTAACTTTTATCCTAAATTGTGCATCTTTTTGGCTTAGTAGATGACTTGTATATGATACTTGTATGCATGTTTTTCAATGATGATTCTGACTTCAACCTTGATTTTCTGATATTAAACACAGCTGCAAAATTAGTAGAACTGCCCAATGCTTATCATATGGCTTAAAAGTAATAATTATTTGGGTAAAGTATAAAATATTTTACTCATTTTCTTCTAGCTACTTAAATACACACAATAACTGTTATTCTAATACATGTAGTAAGTGTCATATACATAATTGATTTTATAAAGTAACTGATAACAAGAATTTTCATTGAATTTTAAAACAAATGTTCCAATTTATAAATGAGATTAAAATTAAGAGATTTTATTAAATGGGAAATAAACAAGTTTATGGTAATGGACATAACCTAGTGGTTAGAGAGTCGGATGTGGATTTATGCATCCACGGTACACATTACTGAACATGATCTACTGTGGATATGTTATAGAAGTGACAAAGACCTTATGGCATTGGTTCTGCTAACACTGGTCAGCAATTATAAATTATTGGCTCTGATCAGACCATTTATTCCACACAAACTTAGATGCTGTTCTTGTTGAAAATTCCAATTTTATTGTTTAAAAAAGTTTGTCTAAAAATTCAGTGCCAGTGGATCTACATAGTAATATGTGTTGAAAACCTGTGATAAAAATAAGTAGGCCCAAAGATAATATAAAATACATTAAGGAAACAAAAAGCATATACTTAAGTGTATGTTATTACAAAAATATGTGTAAAACAAAAATATTAAGTAATAGAAGTTTCCATGGTTTAGAAGAATATCATGTTATGCATCTTGAGTTATCATTACCAAGTGTAAGGTTAAGTTGCCCCAACCAGTGGTCTCATTGACTTCCCAGTTTTTCACGAAGCAAGTGTTACAAGTTTGACTGGCTCAAATCACAACCACTGTTTTCTTGAGATATAATCACATGCTCTCAATTTCTAGTCTGTTCTCAGACAACACAATATGAGGAAATCGGTGATTAAAACTCGTGAACTTTATCAACATATCATGAGATAAATTACCCCAAACTTCTCTTTAGATAGTAAAAACATTTTATTACACATGAAATTAGATTATTACTGCTGTGATGGCAAATTTTATGTTAACTTTATCTAAATGTATGACATAATTCTCAAATCACCACACAAAATTGGTAATTAAAGTATAATGTAACAAAAAAATTTCCATTAAATGTCAGTGTTAACTTTTTATAAGTTTGCATTCTGATAGTTACATAACTTAGAAGCCTCTACAGTTACTTATCTTATTTTTTACACTGTGTTTAATAGTTATCTTGGTTTAGTTTCTTGGTTAGGAAAAAAAGATGAAAAATGTACTTTTTTACATTTCAAACAGTGTGGTTAAAATTTTAGCATTCATATACTAAACTAGCATGTATAATATTTTGTATGTTTCAAATAAAGTCAATACAGACATAAACCAGAATTGACTGAAGAGTGAATGTCTTAACATAATTTAAGAAAATCATAAATGTATTTTTAAAAGCTACAAAACTTGAGAAACTGCAGAAGGATATCCAAAAACTGACCACAGAAATATACAGTTTATAAATTATAACCATGTGATAATTAGAATACCTGATTCAATTGTGTTAGGTCTTTTAAATATTTTCTTTAATGTCCCAAATATTTTTATACACACATATGTGTGTTATACAGCTTTGTAAAAGATAGTGTCAACACACGTTTTTGCATTTTGGTTCAGGCATGGACTAATAGTTAATGAGCCAGGCTGTGGAGCACAAGATCTAAGGTATAAATATATGTGCATTACAAGTCTTAAACGAGTCTAACTTTGATAATGTTTTAGTAATCTAAGGATTACATTATCTCAAATAAGTATTCCTTGGCCTTCAATCTCCTCAATATTTCTTTAGTGACAGATAGAATGTTAAGTTTTAGTTTATTTCAGAATCAAACCAAACTAAGTCCATTTTGGTATCAGTAGTTTCAGTTTGAAAACTTTTTCACACAATAATTCTTGACATAATAAATGAATGTCACTTTACTGTCAGATCTTATATAAATATCTGTTAGTTCCTTCCACACAATTAATAGTAATCTTCAAGCAATTATGATAAAATATCCTTACTCAACACAACAGGTTTACTCTCAGTTACTGGCAATTATTAACTGAATGTAAAGAAAATTTCTTCTACTGACTATGCCATTTCTAAACATTTCACTGTTAGATGTGGCCACATCTGTAATTATCAAGTTAACAGGAAAACAGCCTTGTATCACTATGTTCTCTTCATGTTGGCAAGTGGCTATGTAGGTGGCCTTCTCTTTCTATTCTTTGTCCAATGGGACAGTGCTTTTTGTATGCACTGTATCTAACATTTTCATAAATCAGTTTCACAGTAATTTACAAGTAAACATACTTAATAGTAATACAGGTACTGAAATCATTGATATGTTTTAAAAAAATTATTTTTGAAACAATGAAATGGGTGTCTTGATATTAATAGGGTCGACCAGGATGGCACATAGAGTGTTCTGTCATGGCCAGTGCTCTTCTTGGAGAGTCACTTGATATCCATACAGGAGGATATGACCTCAAGTTCCCTCACCACGATAATGAAATAGCCCAGGCCGAAGTAAGAATTTAAGATACATGTGACTTGAAAATGAGAATACAAAATAAGGATGTTTAGATATAGAAATGAAATGCTGAGATTTTAGTTTTATCATTTTTTGCATGTATATTATCCTGCTATTTCTATGAGTTTCTACTTTCCTTGTGTTTTAAGATTTGCTTGTATATTATTATGTTGTTTCATTGAGTTTCTACTTTTCTTATGTTTTAAAGTTTATATCATCTTGTTGTTTCCATGAATTTTTGCTTTCTTTGTGTTTAAGATTTAGATGTATGATAGTTTGGTGTTTTCATGAGTTTCTGCTTTGTTTATGCTATATGACTTACATGTATGTTATCTTGCTGTTTCCTTTTTTTTTTGAGGTTTAGATTTGTATTATCTTGCTATTTCCACAAATTTTTTATTTCTTTGTGTAAAATTTAGATGTGTTGTTTCAGTGTTTCCATGAGCTTATGTTGTATGATTTACATATATATTATCCTGTTGGTTTCATACATTTATACTTTCCATATGTTCGAGATTTACATGCATTCTTTTGTTTTCATGAGGTTGAGAAATTTCGTTTTTTATCAATAACTTTATCCAACGATGTAGTCAATAGAACCAAACATACAAAATCCATTGCTTTGGTAGTTTCTCATATTGTGACATTTCAGGGATTTCATATAACAAGCATTAAGAATTATGGTTGATAAATATTTTTCAAGAATCTGTATGGTGAAATAACACAGGCCTGTAATGGTTTTATTATCGTGAAATTTGTACATATTCTACAGTAATTTCTATATGCTGAATTCAAAAACGATATCCATTTTTCTCCATTGCATACAGATTTTTCACAAAACTTCATAATGCAACACATAAAAGAAAGATCACAACATGTAGTTTTGAGAATAAAAGACATAGATTTCACAAAAAAAAATTGGGATGAATGAGGATGCATATTCATTTGACATCAATGTTCTTCCCTTTCCTTCAGTTTGTTTGTATTTTTATTAACAAACATAATAATAAAAAATGTTCATTGTGGTAAACAAAATAATAATTTGATCTAACTAAGAGTTTTTCCTTCCAGATTAGTAACAAATTCTTATATGATTGAAAAAATGAATATTATTTTCTAAATCTGTGTAGCTGAATTATGGGAAATCCATTATTAAAACCAAAACAACTTTTATAAAGTTGAAATTTGCAGGCCTGTGTGCTTGGTCATAACAATGTGATTGGGAAATTATTTATATGACAGAGTTTGTTGATACTGTGAAATCATATTAACAGTGTCTGTTTTTGTTGTTTTTTTTAAAAGGCTTACTTTGATAATGACCACTGGATACAGTATTTTCTACATACGGGCCATCTGACAATAGCAGGCTGCAAGATGTCAAAATCACTAAAAAATTTCATCACCATCAAAGATGCTCTTGCAAAACACACATTTCGACAGCTTAGGTTTGCTTTCTTACTGCACTCCTGGAAAGACACATTAGACTACAGTGAGAACACTATGGAAATAGCTGTACAGTATGAAAAAACTGTGAATGTAAGTTATACATTTCCTGTCTAGTTGAGCTGATTTTTACTACTGAAGTTAGGATTTTCAATATCATATTATTATTTGTAACCCTTTATTCAAAATCAAGGATATCTTGTTCATAGACACCTGAATTTTTGTCTTTTAAAATTAAGAAAGAAAAGTAGAAAGTGTATATTTCTTACAGTGTGCATGTTCCACTTAACTTTTATAGACTTTTCTTAAGTGTTCAATTTAAATTTACTGTAGTGAAATAAGGTATGTTTGGTTTTAGAGAAACACAAATCCATTTGCTTTTTGTTCATTATAATATGAAACGTTAATTACGTCTTTAACATGTATTATTTAGAGATGTATATGTCCCTGTGTTTACCTTAAATACAGCCAAAGTCATGTAGCATTCAGTTATTTACAAGATTTCATAATGGATTAAAGTAGATATAGTAGTTGACTACATATAGAGAATCTCAGTGGATTTTGTTAGACACTTTGTCAATGACATTAGTTTTTATTGTTGTTTACATCATAATTTCCTTTATTAAATTATCTGTGAACTAGAGTGTGCACAACTAAGTGAACCAGCCTGAATGTTTACTTAAGTAGCTTATTAAGATGTAAAAATGTGCAACAATTGTTATTGTATATGTATACTAGTAAATACTGATCTGGTTGTTGAAAGAACTGAAAGCAATGTTTAAGC